CTCTAGGTTTTTGCACTTGGAGCAAATTAAGAAGACTCATGGCAAAAAAGTCTTTTCTTAGGACCTCTTTAGTTTGATTAGTCCACGAACATTTCAAGTTATTAAATATTTATTAACCACCTGTGATGTGCAAGGTACCACAGAGTATCTGGAATTACTGACTTCTACCTATGTCCTGCAGTCAATTTTGTGTCCTGTTTATCTTTTATGGTACCCAGACAGAGTACATTGTATTGCATATCTACTATTCATTGAATTACATTAAAGAGATGGGAGCATCCATTATTAGTTCTCTTTTTTCTCCAATTCTACACCTCAGATCCCTTCAGAATTATCCTCTTTCTCTATAGTTTTGTTCCAGTCTTCGAGGAAGTGGTGATCCTTTCCTTGTCTATCGTTCTTTTTCTACCCTTGATCTCACCTATTTTCTCCTTCAGGAGTTTTCTCATAGGATGATAGAGTAAGAACTGAAAGAGACTATATCGATCTCTCTAATCTGCAATCTTTCTTTATCCATTGGCTCCTTCTCTAAATACAGGCATGCTCAGATTTCTCCCATCTTTCAAAAGCTTCACTTGACCCTTCTATCCCCTCATGATATCATGCTTTATCTCTCCTCCCTTTTATAGCCAAACTCTTAGAAAAAAAGGTATCTGTGTTTGTTGCCTTTACTTCATTACGTTGGGCTCACCTTTTCAGCACCTCACAGTCTGGTTTCTAACACTGCCATTGCATTGAAACTGATTATCTCCAAGGTTACTGATCTCTTAATTGCCAAATCCAGTCACCTTTTCTTAGCCCCTGTCCTTCTTAGTTATGCTGAAGCATTTGACACTGATTTCCTCTTATTCCTGGATATTCTTTCCTCCCTACATTTTTGTGACATTGCTGTCTCCTGGTACCCTTCTCACTTGTCTAACACTCTTCATTTCTTACTCTGGATCAGCATCTATGATCCATCTTCTGTGTAGGAGTGTATGCCCAGGATTCCAAGCAGAGCCCTCTTTCTTCTCTACCTTCTTTTGGTACATCCTATGGGTTATAACTGGCATTTATGTAGTGCTTTGAAGTATGGAAACACTTTCTATGAATTATCTCAGTTGATCCTAACAATAATTCTATGAAATTACTGCTATTGTTGGTCTCATCTTATACATAAGGAAACTGAGACTTGGATTGAGTCACTTAGCTAATCTGTGGATGAGCCTGGATTCAAATGTAGGTTGTCCTGATTCCAGTTCTAACAGTCTAACCACTATGCAATATTCCCACATCTATAATGTGCATATCCAGCCCTAATCTCTCCCAAACTCCAATCCCCTATCACCAAATGCTTACTGCACATCTCCACTTGAATATCCCACAGACATTTCAAATTTCGGAAGTGAACTCATTATCATCCTCCTCAGCCTACACTTCCATCTCATCTTCCTGTTTCTGTTGAGGGCAACACTATTCTTCTAATCACCCAGGTTGAAACCTTCAGTAATATGTAAGTTCCTTTAAAATAGGGAATGTTTTGTTTTGGTTTTGTCTTTCTAATCCCAATGTCTAGCAAATGCCTGGCACATTGTTGGTGCTGAAGAATTACTGATCAAATTGAACAAACTACAAAGATAAATTTGTAGGACTAGATAATTGAATAAAGTAATTTCTCTCGTTATTTCTCTCACTTTTCTGTGGGAAAGTGTCCTAAAATATATTCCCTGCAAGTTGAACTCCAAACCTTCCACTGGGATCTATAGGAATCGAGTTTCTTCTTAGAAAGATATAAACTTAAGGTTAGTCCAAATATTGGCTACCTGAAAGTATTACCATTCCTAAAATGAAGTTTCTTGGAAAGGGACAGACAATGTATGTGAAAGTAGATACTGAAACACACAGGCCACACTTGTGTTTTATACAAACCAAATTTATAGAACCATCATTAAACAAATACAAAGCAATATATCTTTGGACCAGTGTAGTTTAACTGATTTCAATTATAGTGTTTTCAAAAATTTGGGCAAGTTTCTTTTTCCATTTTGCTTCCTGGTGTTTGTTTTTCCAATAAAGAAACAGCATGGCTAGTTCTGTTTTCCCTTCCCCCCAGGCAATGGGCAAACACTGGCTTTAGCCTTTGTATTTATCTTCAGGTAATAGTTCAATGTGAAGTTTCTTGCAAAAGAAAGTGTTAGTAAAGTGCTATCAGATTTTTTGATCTTCTGACTGTTAGAAAATGAATTCTCTTATCTTTTGCAGACAGATGATATTAAAGTCAGGCAAGAAGGTTAGATCAGGAACTTTATTAAAAGCCATTTCCAAATAGATAAGTGGTCAAAGGATATGAACAAATAGTTTTCAAAAGAAGAAATGCAAGCTATCAACAACCATCTAGCAAGTGCTCAAAATTACTACTGATAAAAGAAATATAAATTAAAATGACTCTGAGGTTGGCACCTATCAAGTGTGCAAAGATGGGGAACATTCTATGTTGGCGGTATATGTATGCACATCAAAACTACTGGTAATGGCAAAGGAAATAGTTCCAACCAATTTGAAAAACAAGCAATAATTTATGCAATTTTTTTTAAATTAGAAAAACTAGATATGATAGACTTTTGACAATTATATAATAGAAATTATATAGAGTATAGCAATTTTTAAAAGAAATATGGATACCTTTACAAAATTTGATCATGTGTTGAGACAAAAGGAGCTCATAACTGAATGTAGAAAGACAGGATTATTAAATAAATCTTTTACAGACTATGAAAGGCAGTACAGCACAACTGATGAAGAACTGGCCTTGAAGCCTGGAAGAGCTGTGTTCAAGTAGCCCTCTCAGTGCACTCAGCAACTATAAAATTCTAAGTTGTAGAGGAGCTTCCTCACCCAGGATTATAGGATATGATTAGATCCCCTCTTGCTGAAAGTACTGGTTGGCTTGTTTCAAATCTATTTGGGGGAGCTCACGCTGGCTTCCCTAGGAAGATTCCTCTCTTTAGCTTTACAGCTTCCCTATTTACCTGTGATCAGGCTGGCTTCCCTGGTTGAGACCATTCTATATGCTTCAATCGGCTTTCTGCTGGGATTTTTTGTTTTGGTTTCCTTTTTGTTTATTGGTTTTGGTTTTAGCAGTTCTCGATTGGATGGTAAAGGTAATTTCTGATTCTACTTGATTTTCTTTATCATTGATCTTTTGGAGTTCTTTAAGATATTTGCTAGGTTTTATGTAGTACTCTTGCCTCCTTTATAAAGAACAAGACACGGGACAATGAGAGGAAAAAGTAAGAGGATGGTGGAGGGTTGTTGTGGAGCTTAAATGAAATAGCACATGTAAAGCATTTTGTAAACTTTAAAGTGTTATCTTCCCAGGAACCCTTCAACAATTGTTATTTTTATCTTTTTTCATCTTTGCCAATGTATGGTTAGGTTCCTTTCTTTTTTTTACCATTTTAAAATTTACTATTTATGCATATCATAGTATTCAGAGCTGCAAGAGATCTTGGAGGTCATCTAGTCCATTTTCCACATGTTACTGATGAGGAAGCTGAAGCCCAGAGGGGTTAAGCAACGTTCCTAAGATCCCACATATGCAGGGTCACTGTTTGAATCTAAGTCCTCTGGTTTCTAATCCAGTGCTCTCTATAATGCTGCACAGTTAGTAAGTGCCATCTTTGTAAAGGCGCTGGCACTGAGAATGAAACTGACATAGTATTCCTGTTCTTAATTATATAAAACATTTACATTTTCTCTTAGAAGTTCAAAAACTTTGGGGCAGTTAGGGGCTCAGTGGATAGAGAATCCGCCCTGGAGTCAGGAGGACCTGAGTTCAAATCTAGCCTCAGATACTTGACACTTACTAGCAGTGTGACCCTGGGCAAATCACTTAACCCCATTGCCCAGCCCCCCCCAAAAAAAAATTCAACAACTTGGATATTAGTCCCAAAAGTTAATTTTGGAAAGATTCTATATCTGAAGAGAAATTTTTCCAGAGCTTGAGAAGAATATAACAAACTCTAATTTTTCATGCACATTGGAAAGAGCACTGGAGTCATTGTACAATCTATATACTCTGAAATACGGTTGGTGCTTTAGCCTGTTTTAAAGCCCTTTTTGCTAGTATCATTATTATTATTACTTATGAGCAAAAACTTCCAGAAAATAAGAGTCTAAACCAACTATTTGCATCCTTCATAATTTTGTTCCTATCTTTAATGTATGTCTTTTTCAGTTAAAAACAGTATGTATAGACTGATTATTTTTAATTTTCCACTTAACATTGTTTCATGTGTGTGTTTTTCTAAGACCTTTTCAATCAGTTATTCCTTATAGAATCATAGATATAGAGCTGAAGGAACCTCACAGGCCATCTAGTCCAACTCCTCATTTTACAGATGAGGAAACTGAGGCCCAGGGAGGTTAAATGACTTGTCTCTTTGCTTCTGGTACAACAAAATGAAACAAATAAATGGATAAAATATAAAAGTATGCTTAAAATGAGTAGCTTTGTCATATTCAAGTTAGATTTGGAACTATCAGGGAGAGCTGGAATTTGAGTTTCAAGGAAAACATAGAAACTGGAAACTAAGGACAGCATTTGGTGATGACAGTTGCATTTGGTGATGACAGTTGCAGGTTTTATGTAGGTAATGAGCCAGTTTTCCTCCACCAAGATCCACCTCCCACCTAACACTTGTTATTACTGTTTGATAAAGTGGCAAGAGGGAGAACAGAGTTCATTGTTCCAAACAGTCATTGGAGGATGGGGATGATGTCTGCAGAATAAACTTTAAGTTTGATTTTGGTGGAGTAATAGTCCTGAAATGTGATGTGGGGTGATGTTACTGGTAATGCCCAGATGCCTAACTTAATTTATTAAAAAAAAACAAAACAAAAATTAAAAACTTTTTCTACATAATAACCATAATTAGCCATTATTATAATTAGGTAAATGCCTTTAAATTTAAAAAGCAATTGATATATAATTCTAACAAAGTTTTCTTTTATATTTATAGATAACTACACTTATTAATCATAAAGATAAAACAAAACGGTCAGATAAGACTTTGCAAGCAATTCAACGAGTGGGACAAGCAGTCAACTTGGCAGTTGGAAGATTTGTTACAGTAGGGGAAGCTATAGCCAGTGAAAATTGGGATTTGAAAGAGGAAATAAATATTGCTTGCTTGGAAGCAAAACAAGCAGGTATGTGAATATTTACATTTTTAGGTGTCTAATACCAATGTTATTGCTGTACAGATAGAAAATTCTTTGTTAAGATATGTATAACACAAATATATATAATATATTTATCATATATGTATATTATGTATTATATATGTATATATGTATGTATGTTACTTGCATGTCAGAGATGCTCCTGTCATGAAGGCTTTGGTTACTTTTAAAGGATTGGTTGTATTTTATTGGTTTAAGCCCTATCCAGAAACCTAGAGAAAAAAAATCTCTTTACTGAAAAAATAAAAGCCATTCATCTCAAGTTTCTCCTTCTGTATTCATCATTCCTCATCCTCTCTTCCTTTGCTCTAGTCTTTGACAAAGAGGTGACCCTTTAACTTTTCACTTGTTCCATTGAACCCCTCCTGTCTCCTCTGGGAACTGGCCCCTTCAGTCATCTCTTTTTCTGTCTATAATCATCACTCTCAATATATTTGTTTCTTCTCTAATGCTTACAAATATGCTGTAGTCAACCTTTAAAAAAATCTTCACTTGACCCTGTTAACTCGTCAAGTTGTAATCCTATATCTTTCCCTTCCACAACCAAAGTCCTAGTGAAAGCAAGCAGCACTCATTTCCTGGCCTTAACAACTTGACTTCAGCTTCTCTCTCCAAAATTACCAATGAACTTTTGGCTTCTAAATTCATTGGTGTTCTTTTAGTCTTCATCTTGATATCTCTGTGACTTTTGACGCTGTTGACCACTTTCTCCTCCTGGATACCCTCTCTTCCCTTGAAGATACTTTCAAGACACTGCTTTCTTTTGGCTCTCCTTTCACCTCTCCAGTCATTCCTGTTTGGTCTTTTTTGCTAGATCATCATCCATCTTCCCCTAACTCTTAGTGTCACTGAAAGTACTTTGGGGCCCTTTTATCTTCTTGCTATATTCTCTTTCTTTTGGTGAATTCCTCAGCTGCTAGATGTTTAATGATACCTATGAAGATGATGTGTATGTGTTACACACACATGTGTGTACATGTTACACTGCACATAGATGTGTGTCCGTAATGATCTCTATGTAGATGACATGTACACACATATATGCATATACACGTGTCTATACATGTATATATTGATATTATTATATACATAATTTCTCTTGTGAGTTCTAATCCTTAATCACTAAATGAAAAACATCTTCTCTTTGATCGGCATCTCAAACTCAATATATCAAAAATGGAACTCACTCATGACTTCCTTTCCATTCTGGCTCCTTCTGTACCCTTTCCATCCCAAGGAGACTCCTGAGCCAGAGAAATAAGGCCCAAAACACCATCTCCCTTTTTATTACACTCTCCACACAACCCGAATGAGTAATCAGGTGACCCAGAAACACCATCTGTGGAGACTGAATAATACACACTTCTGGTTAAGTTGGCAAGATGAAAGGTTGTAGAGATGCCCAGCTCTCCCACACACACTCCAACAAAACAAAGAGAAACAGAAAAAAGTTCTTCCATTCAGGCCAGAACTACACACACAAAAAAGACAGCCAGCAGAGGCTGGGAGAAGGGTCACAACAGGGCAACCAGTGCAATCCTCTGTAAAAGGTCATGAAGTCTCTAAGTGCTGCTAGAAGGGCCAAACTGGGGAAAATAAGACTAATCAGAAGATAACACCATTCACAAGGAAGACCAAGACAATAAAAGAGTAACTTCAGGACAAATGAAAGCAATATCTTAGATTAAGAAGTGGCCTGGACACAAAGACTTTAAGAATGGCTGGAAGAAATAGGAGACTTCAAGAGAGGCATAAAAAGGTAAACAGGAAAGGAAAAAAAAACATGTTATTCAATAAGGGCAAAGTGTTTACTTCCCTACATGGGAAGATGGTACTTGTAACTCTTGAGAACTATATCTTTATTAAGACATTTAGAAGGGATATACATAGACAGAGGGTGTGGGCATAAATTGATGTGATGATAAAAAACCTAATTAAGTGGTAAAAAGGGATTGTAATGGGAGAAGAGGAAAGAAGGAGGCAGAAAAGGGTAAATTATATCACATGAAGAGGCACAAAGACATATTACAGTAGAGATAAAGAAGGGAGGGAGATGAGTGTTGTTTGAACCTTACTCACATCAGATTTGGCCTAAGGAAGGAATAACATACTCAGGTATAGAAATCTAACTTGCTCAATAGACAGTAGGAGGGGAAAGGGAGGGGGCTGATAGAAGGGAGGGAAGACTGAGAGTGGCGGTGGTCAAAAGCAAAACTCATAGTGAGGAGGGAAAGGGAGAAAGGAGAAATAAAAGCATAAAGGGGGGGGATAGGATGGAGAGCAAGACACAGATAGTAATCATAACTGTGAATGTGAATGGAATGAACTCTCCCATAACACAGAAGCGGATAGCAGAATAGATTAAAAATCATAATCCTACAATATGTTGTTTACAAGAAACACATTTGAAACGGAGGGATACACACAGAGTAAAGGTAAAAGGCTGGAGTAGATATTATGCTTCAGCTGAAGTGAAAAAGCAGAGGTGGTAGCAATCCTGATCTCAGACAAAGCAAAAGCAAAAATAGATCTAATTAAAAGGGATAAGGAAGGAAACTACATCTTGCTAAAAGACACTGTAGACAATGAAGTAATATCATTATATATGCACCAAGTAGTATAGCATCCATATTCTTAGAGGAGAAGTTAAGGGAGTCATAGGAAGAAATAGACAACAAAACTATACTAGAGGGGGACCTCAACCTCTCCCTCTCTGAACTAAATAAATCTAGCCACAAAATAAACAAGAAAAAAGTTAAGGGAGTGAATAGAATTTTAGAAAAGTTAGATATGGTAGACCTCTGGAGAAAATTGAATGGGGATAGAAAGGAATATACCTTCTTCTCAATGGTATATGGCACCTACACAAAAATTGATCATGTAAGGGCATAAAAGCCTCACAATCCAATGAAGAAAGGAAGAAATATTAAATGCATCCTTTTCAGATCATGATGCAATAAAAATTATATGTAATAAAGGGCCATGGAAAGATAGACTAAAAATTAATTGGAAACTAAATAATCTAATCCTAAGGAATGGGTGGGTCAAACAATAAATCATTGAAACAATCAATAACTTCATCCAAGAGAATGACAATAATGAGACAACATACCAAAACTTATGGGATGCAGCAAAAGCAGTTCTTAGGGGAAGTTTTATATTGCTAAATGCTTACATGAATAAAATAGGGAAAGAGAAGATCAATTAATTTAGCATGCAACTAAAAAAGCTAGAAAAATAACATTAAAAATCCATAATTAAATACCAAATTAGGAATACTGAAAACTTAAAGAGAGACTAATAAAATTGAAATCAAGAAAACTATTGAACTAATAAATAAAACAAAGAAGAAAACCAAATTACCAGCATCAAAAAATGAAAAGAATGAATTCACCACTGATGAAAAGGAAATTAAAACAATAATTAGGAACTATTTTGCCCAACTGAGTGCCAATAAATTTGACAATCTTAGTGAAATGGATTAATACTTACAAAAATATAAATTGCCCAGATTAACTGAAGAAGAAATAAAATACTTAAATAACACCATTTCAGAAAAAGAAACTGAACAAGCCATAAATGAACTTCCTAGGAAAAAAATCTCCAGGGCTAGATGGATTTACAAGCAAATTCTATCAAACATTTAAAGAACAATTAATTCCAATACTATATAGACTATTTGGGAAAATAGGTGAAGAAGGAGTCCTACCAAATTCTTTTTATGATACAAATATGGAACTGATACCTAAACCAGAAAGAGTCAAGACAGAGAAAGAAAATTATACACTGATTTCTCTAAGGAATATAGATGCAAAAAATTTTAAATAAAATACCAGCAAAAAGATTACAGCAACTTATTATGAGAATAATACACTATGACCAGGCAGGATTTATACCAGGAATGCAGGCCTGGTTCGGTATTAGAAAAACTATTAGCATAATTGACCATATCAACAACACAACTAACAGAAATCATATGATTATCTCAATACATGCAGAAAAAGCATTTGACAAAATACAACACCCATTCCTATTGAAAACCCTAGAGAGCATAGGAATAAATGGAGTCGCAAGGGAATTAATGAAAAAAAAAGTGGCAAGGAAGGGGGCCTAGCAGTACCAGATTTCAAATTACGCTACAAAGCAGTAAGCATCAAAACAATTTGGTGCTGGTTAAGAAATGGGTTGATCAGTGGAGCAGATTAGGTACACAATATACAGAAGCAATGGAACACAGTAGCTTGAATGTTTGGGAAACCCCCAAATCCCAGCCTTTGGAGTGAGAACTCACTATTTAACAAAAACCACTAGGAAAATTAGAAAGTAGTATGAGAAATTAAGTGTAGACCAACATCTCATACTGTATATACCAAGATAAGCTCCAAATGGGTACATCACTTAGACATAAAGAATAATACTATAAAGAAATTAGAAGAAGAAGGAAGAAATTGCTTGTCAGATCTACGGATAGGAGAAGAGTTCATGACCTAATAAGATGTAGGGAGGATCACAGAAGGGAAATTGACAATTTTCCATGTATAAAGTTTGAAAGTTTTTGCAGAAATAAAATCCAGCTAAATTTAGAAAGGAGGCAGATAATGGGGGGGGGAATCTTGTAGCAAATTTCTCCAATAAAATCCTAATTTTTAAGCTATTAGGAACTGATTCAAATTTGTAAGAATTGATAAATGGCTAAAGTATATGAACAGATAGTTTTCAGATGAAAAAATCCAAGCTATCAATAGCCAAAAAAAAAATGCCCTAAATCACTACTAATTAGAGAAGTACAGAATAAAACAACTCTGGGTATGTACCTCATACTCATCAGATTGACAAAGTTGACCAAAAAAGGAAAATGACAAATGCTAGACGGGCTGTGGGAAAACAGGCATATTAATACACTGTTGATAGAGCTGTGAACTGGTCTAGCCATTTAACTGTTGGAAAGCCTTTGACCCAACTTCACCCCAACTAAGTCTCCACAACCCCAAAAAAATCAAAGAAAAAGAAAAAGGACCTATGTGTACAATCTATAGAACAAGAGAGCAATCTATACAATAACAACAATATTGTAGGGACAAACAATTTTGAAAGACTTAGAAACTCTGATCAGTACATTGAATAACCATGATTCCAGAGTACTCATGATGAAACATGCTGCCCTCCTTCTGATAAAGAATTAAGAATGCAAATTGAGACTTTTTTTCCCCAGGGGTGGTTTGGGGCGGTGGTGTTTCAGGGGAATTGTCAATGCAAAAATTTTCTTAGCAGTTTTATATTTCTTGTTTTCTTAGTTGGTGAAGGGGCTGTAGGAGAGAGGCATATCTTTATTTGAAAAAAATTTATTTTAAAGAATAGAAGAAATGAAGCATAAGTGCTGTAAGGCAGATAATGCAAGTGTTAACCATATTTTCACAGACTCTCAGAGTTGGAAGAGACGTCAGAGGCCATCTGGTGATTCTCATTCAGCCCACACCTGAACAAGAATTCCCTTCCACATCCTCTCTGACAAGTCATCATCCAACCTCTGCTTTCAGACCCCCTCCTGATGCAGCTTATTCTATTTTTGCATATTTCTAATTCTTCAGGATTACTTTCTTTATATAAAGCCTAAATTTGCCTTTGTAACTCCTATCTATTGGCCCTCTGGAACCAGCAGCACAAGTCTAATTCCTTTTCTACACCTTGGCCCTTCGTATACATGAAGGCTTTCCCTAGTTCTCCAGATCTTTTCTTCTCTAGGCTAAATATCCTCAGTTCCTTGCCTAACCAGAGTGTAGTACAGCAGAACTCTCACTCCTAATGAGGAAAGACATAGAGTGATTTATCCAAAGTCATGTAACTAATAAGAGGAACTAATAATAAGGAAATTAATAAGCCCTGAATTGTGGTTTGAAGATTCTTCCTACTGTGTTCTTTTATTGGCATGAATCACTTCTAAAAGTATGCAGCCCAGACAGACTTTAACAACAAACTTCAATAGCAAACTGTAGCAGGCATTTTCTAGAACATCTCTTATTGTGAAGTTCACAGCATGTTAAGTACTAAAGAGGATACAAAGATTAAATCAGACATAGTCCCTGCTTTCATGGAGGTCACAATCATATTAATATGATGGTTATGGTGTTCTTCGTGACCCCACACCTATACTGTCCATGAGCTTTTCTTGGCAAAGATATTAGAGTGATTTACCATTTCCTTCTCCAATGCCATTTACTTCAATGAGGGTATAACACATATTAACATATAATATTAATACTTTAATACAAAAATAATACATGATAAATGTATAAGAACAGTGCAAAGTAGGGACTACATAAGGTCCCCATGGAGAAGTAGTGTAGTTTGACTGTACCATGGAAGAAAGAGTAATATGAGATTAAACTGGCAATATAGAGTGAACTCATATTTTGGTGTGCTTGAATGTCAGGAATTTGAACTTTATCCAGTAGTAGTACTCATTGAGGAGTTTTGAGGAAAGGAGTGACACAATTAGGTCTTTGTCAAAAGAAGGGTAGAAGGATAGAGAGACTGGAAATGGGAAGATAAGTCAGATGTATATTTTAATAGTCCTCATGGATAACAATGAAGGCATGTATTAGAAGGTCAGTAATGGGACTAAAAAGAAAGAAGTTGGTACTAGGGATATTAAAGCGGTAGAATCTCAACACACGACAACTGATTAGATATGAGAGGATATGAGAGGGAAAAGAGATTTACTCCAAGCTTTTGAATGTGGAAGATTGTAAATATTGGTACTACAGAAAAATGGAAGTCATAAATCAAGATGAGTTTTAGGGAAAAGATAATTTTGGGTTTGAACATGTTTAGTTGAAGGTACTGGTTGGGACAGCCTTATCAGTTTTAGTTCTTATATTTTCCTGTAGATATAGCAGGTATGATATTTGAAGCTAAATAGCTAATGAAACCAGGAAATACCTAGAAACTTGCTTTCTTTAACAAGTCTCTTTTAAAGGAAAATGATATGTGATATTCATTGTATAGCATTGTGCAGGAATCCAGTATAGAGCTGCTTCAAATCTTTGTAGGGGTCATGGTATCTTTTCTAACATGGAGTATATGGCATAGTGGAATAATAGCCTGGTCCAGTGACCTGGGAGAGTTATGATCAGAAGTTTCTTTTTGACAAGCTTAGATCAGCACTGTAAACTTTTTTTTTTTGAGTTCTTGGATTTCTGCATTGTTTGTGGTATTACTGAATATTTAAATAGCTACTGTCATACTGTCATTTTATTCATATTCCAGTCTGTTGTTGTTATTTTTTTTAATATTGTTACCCAAATCCTTCAAAGGTTCATCCTAGATCCATAGCAGCACAAATCAGAAAGATTGCTGACCACGCAAGTTTTTGCATTGGAATGTCACCTCATTTCTCTGACCAAAGCCTGAGTGTTCTCTCAAATTTTCCCCACTCTCCCCCAAGCTCCTTTCTGAAAGAAGACCCAGTGCAAAGTGGCCTTTTCTTTGTATTTTCTATTTGGTGAATGGACCACTTAGGGAAAAATAGGAGTTTAAATGTTAACAGAATGATTTGGGTTAAAGGCAAGGGATAGTGGATTATTTTCAGTACTGTATTCAAGAAAAAAAATAGCACAGCTAGGAGCCTCTGACATTCTATCATGTTTTAAATGGTCTGTTCATAAAATTCCCTTTTTCAGTTTGTAAGAATGTTCATCTAACACAAGAAAATGCTGTAAATATTTGTAACAACATTTTTTTACCTGGCCAAAAAAAAAGGGTTTTTGGGAACAAGTTAAAGTATAAAGTGGTTTTATATAAAAATATCAGTTGTCTTGTATATTTTGATAAGCAATAGTACTAGCTTTCATTTGTAAAGCAGTTTGTGGCATTGGAGGAAAAAAGGATTCCATATCTGTTAAAATGACTTATGTTATAAATGCAAAGACAAGATAAAATATTAAAGAAACATTTTCTAAAAAAAATAAAAATAAAGGAAAATGATAAATGTTGGAAGGGATGTGAGAAAATTGGGACACTAATGAACTGTTGATGGAGTTGTGACCAGGTCCAAAGGGCTATAAAATTATGCAGACTCTTTGATCCAGCAATACTACTACTAGGTCTTTATCTCAAAGAAATCCAAAAAAGGGGAAAAGAACCTATTTTTAAATATTTATAATAACTTTTTTTGTAGTAGCAAAGAATTGGAAATTGAGGGGATGCCCATCAATTAGGGAAAAGCTGAACAAGTTGTAGCAGATCATTGTGATAGAACACTATTGTGCTACAAAAATGATGAGCAGGCTGATTTCAGAAAAACCTGGAAAGATTTACATGAACTGATGAAAAGTGAAATGAGCAGAACCAGGAAAACATAGTACATAGTAACAGCAATATTGTATGATGACGTGAATGACTTAGCTATTCTCAGCAATACAGTAGTCCAAGACAGTTCCCAAGGACTCATGATGAAAAATGCTATCCACCTCCAAAGAAAGGACTGATGGAGTCTGAATGTAGATTGAAGCATACTATTTTTCATTTTGTTTTTATCATCTTTTTTTGTTTTCCTTTGAGTCTGTGTCTTCTTTTACAATGTGACTGATATGGGCATATGTTTTGAATGATTCCACATGTATAACCTATATCAAATTGCTTGCCATCTTAGGGAGGGATAAGGGGGGGAGGGAGAAAATTTGGAATTCAACATTTTAAAAAATGAATATTAAAAATTGGCTTTACATGAAATTGATGAAAAAATAAAATTATTTTTAAAGTCTCTTAAAAACATCTTTTGATACTCACTTTTTAATCATCTTCCTCATAAATATAGGTTAGAAGATGTACAGATCCATGATTCCCAGGACAGTATAATATTACTGACTCTGATTTAAATGTTAAGTATATACTTACCTTTTAAAAATAGTTTTATTTTTATTTGGGTTTTCTTGACAGGAGAAACAATTGCAGAACTTACAGATGTAACCAGCTTGAATAATGCAGAATCTGATGGGCAAATAACAATTTTTACAGACAAAACAGGAGTCATAAAAGCTGCAAGGTTACTTCTTTCTTCTGTGACAAAAGTGCTATTACTGGCAGATCGAATAGTTATTAAACAAATAATAACTTCAAGAAACAAGGTATTTGACTATTCTACTCATTTTTACAAATACAGCTATGAGAATTGTTCATAAAGTTTCTAGGGTTAGTTAATGGTGTATAGTATAGCATAATCTATAGTAAATTAATTTTTTCACTAGCACAATATTTTCTTTGGCATGAGTGATAACCAAGTGAAGTGGGTCAATCATAACAGTGATTCAGTGTACCTTTCATTAAACAATGGTTACTCTCCTTCATTATGTGTGGTCTCCTAATAAAAAATGTACTGTGATCAGAGGTGTGCTGGTTAATTAAACATTTCATTGCATATTGAGATATCATTAATATCTTTGGGAATATTCTACTTGATTGTTTCAAGTGATGTAGATATATCTTCCTTTCTCTTGAATATTCTACTTGATTGTTTCAAGTGATGTAGACATATCTTCCTTTCTCTTCCAGCTAGGTTTGCAGAATTGCTCCACAGCTCTAAGATTGTTGCTGGCACAAGTACATTTGTGATGGCCTACACCATTCACAAACTGTTTGCCCTAGTAAAATTAGCATTATGTTATTTTCTCTGCCATTAATGGTTAGATACTTTTGTATGGTGGGTTTTTTTAAGCCTTCAGGGAGCAAGCATTGATTCATAAACATGGCACACAAACTTGTGTGTATGTGTGTGTGTGTAAATCACTCATTACCATCCCTGGTTTTAAATAGCTATACTTGAAAAACAAATCTCCACTTGACACTGACCATTATAAGAGTTTGGTATGAAAGAAACATACACACGCAAAGACTGCCAGACTGAGATTCTGTGGCATAGTTGAATTGAGTACCCAGGTTGTGACCCAGAACAATTCACCTTCTCTGGCTTCATTTCCCTATCAGTAAAAGGAGGGGGTTGGACGAGATGATCTCTAAGGTCCTCTTTGATTCTTACACTTGGTGATAGGGTGAATGCAGATATCTCCTATAATGTCAACAACTAATTCAAAAAAAGTGTGAATGACACATTTTTCATTTTAATCTGTATTACTAATATTTTCCTCTGTCACCTTAAGTCCAAACAACAACAACTGGATCTCATTCGAGCTGGTTTTAACATACCCCTTAACTGAAATCAAGTTTTTGAACACACAAAAAATTTTCTTTTGAAGAAATAGTAATACCTTAAATGTTTATAATAAAGCCAATTTGTTGAAATTCTGGAGGACAAAGGCAGAAGACCAGTTAAATGTGCAGTGAACACTTGCCCATTTTGACAACTGATGAAGACATTGAATGAGAGTTCTGGGACACATGAGCAAAGATATGGAACACTAGACATTTTTTCTGATTCCCACAACTTCCCAGACCTCTCCAAAACAGAAATTATGTGCCAAAGATAAAGCAGCGTCAGCTGTTTCCATAGTCTAAGTAACACCCATAATCCAAAAGAAGGTTAAACAAAAACCAAGAACTGATGCTCACTGACAGAGTTCACTTAGCACCCCTCCTCCCTCCCGTGCTACAGGTAGTGAGACTGCATCAGCAGACCCAAGGACATGATACAAACTTACATCAAAACCCACCCCTGCAACCCAGTCTCATCCCTCTATCTTTACAGTGCCACGGAGACTGCAGTGCTGCCTGTGGAAGTTTGCTTCAGCCTTGACAGCCAGGTTGACCACAGCCCTTTAGGAGCAAAATCCTTCTGGGAGCTGCAACCCAGAAGCACCATTGTGGCAGTTCTAAACTGGCAGTGACAAGGAAAATAAGCCCTAAACTGCTAGTGCCAGGCCAGAGAACTGAGGAACAGAGAGAGTAGGACAGGTCATCAGGTCAGGACACTATGTATAGAGGTAGGGCGGCTGTGTGGCACTCTGCCAAACCTGAAGGAAAGAACACAAAAGTCAGCTGGGTCAGAGACCTAGGCTGGTGAATAGTGAATTGCCCAGTGTGGGAGAAGGCTGAGACGCTTTGAGATTCAGTCCCAAGGAAACTACAATCAAAAGGGAGGGAGTCAGGAAGTGATTAATAAGAAAAATAAGGAGGGGAGAGAAGACTGAAAGTACCAAAGATTTCAGGAATAAAAAATTAAAAGACCTTGAACAAAAACAGATAAACAGTAACAGCAGAAGTAAATATGGCCTCTAGGTAAACAAGTTCAGGCATCTATGAATAAATACTGCAAAATAAAGGAAAATGATCTAATACTTGATGAGACAAAGGACCCTGTGGAAGTTGAAGAGAACATGGAACCACAACACACTATTCCTGAGTGGTTTAAAAAAGAAATAAGAATTCTGAGTGCAGAATTTATGTCCTGCACAGCAAATGAACAGAATAGAAAAACTTGAATCTGCAATGGCAAGCCTCACAAAAGAAAGAAAAGAATGTAAATATGCAGAAGTAAAGGAAATCTTAGAAGAGAAGCCAAAAAAAATTAAAAGAAGATATTCTCACAATGCAAGCAAAACATGCTGATCTGGAAGACAGGGTATGCAGAGATGACCTAAATATCATAGGTCTCAAAACAATAGGACAGGACGAAAAAGCCTTACCACCATAATGAAGGAAATAAAAAAAAAAACTACCCAGAACTTCTAAACATAGAAAATGAAATTCCAGTTGAAAAAATTCACTGATTACCTCCAAAAACCAAACCAAACAAACAAACAAACAAAAAAAGGTTGGACACATGGTGGTTAGATTTAACAATTCAATTTAGAAACAAGTTCTGTAAGCCATCAGGAGAAAGACCTTCAAATACAAAGAAAAAGGCATTCAAATAACTCCAGTCTTTTCTGCACCTATTAGGAAAAAGAGGAGGGAATGGAATAATATGTTTCAAAAAGCAATGAAGCTCAGAATGCAGCCCAGGGATCTGAGCTTAACTATACAGGACAAAAATGGATGTACAATAATGAAGAAGAATTTCAAACCTTTTTAGAAAGAAGGCAGAACTAAAGAGATTATTTGCCTGTTGAACACCCCAAACAGCAGACATTCAGGAGGAGTGAATAAATGCAACAGGCAGGGACAGTAACAGCAACAGAGTGACAACAGAGAGACAAGTAAAGATTTCTTTCTAAATGTATACAAGGAGATGGGTGAAGGCAGAATTCTGGTAGAGGTAATAGTGAAGAAGCTGGGGGTATTAGGACAAAACATGGCAACACCCTGTCTGTAGGTGAATGTTTCTTTTGTGGGACTATGTTACAACATGGGAGGTTTCATAGAAGTGGGGGGTGGGGAGTAGGGTGATAGAGAGGAGTGATGGGCTGGGGTTAGATTGAGGGCTGGTAATGTGGGGAAGGTGACCTTTGTAGTCTCACAAAGAGAAGAGCCTGAAGGGGAGTGGGTGAAGAGGAATTGGGAAAGATTAAAGAGGGAAGGAAGGAAGGAAGCCTTACTTTGGGTGAGGTTCCAATAATTAATGCTCCTATGGGTGAAGAGAGGTGGTTAGCAAAGGGAGATGAGGACCTTACACTGGATGAGGCCTAGGGGGTTTGGCGCTTGAAAAGTCGGTTGTGTCCTAGGAGGGCGTACATTGGAACCCCTGGTGGCAGCTACCTTTTGGGGGAGTGGGAGAGCATGGCCACAGGGAGATTTACAAGCAAATGTAGGGGGAAAAAGTCAACAAGAGAAAGTATGGATCAGTGGTGGCCTGCATAATCATGGACTTGGTGGGAGAGTGCCCTACTATGGGGCAGTGTCCTTTCTAACATCTGCAATAATTGGCATTGTTCTGGGAACGAGACACTGGGGAAAACGGAATCTGTACGGCAAGTCCTATAAGGGAGTAGCAGAAAGCGCCTAGAGGGCAGAGCCTAGAACAGATACTTTGGAAGCTTTAATTACATGAAGTATAGGAGGGAAAAGAGGGAGAGTAGATAATTACAGGGGTCATGAATTAGAGAATGAGCATCTAGAATAAACAGAAAGAGAATATGGATAAGGAAGAGAGTAAAAAATCCGTTTGGAAAGGAGTACAGAAAATGAAATTTCAAAACTAAGGAACTAGACTAGTTGAAGGGGAAATCTACTTGACTAACTGAAAAGAAAAAAGAGAAGGAAGAAATATATAGCCAGATAAAAGGAAGAAAGAAAAAGGAACCACAAAATCATAAAGGGAAAATAGTGTTAAATAAGAAGAGAAGATCGGGGTGAGGAGAAGAGAGCCAGTGGGAACAGGGCTTCCTTAAAAAAAGATTAAAGTAGCTGAAGGAACATAATACTACTTTTACAGCGGAAGAGGGAACTTGAAACCGAAAAGCTTCTGCACAGATAACATTAATGCATATAAGATAAGAGTAGATGTGGTCAAATGGGGGGAGAAATCTTTGTATTAAATTTCTCTGATGAGGGTTTTGTATCCTATCTATCTAACAGTCAATATTGGAATGGTTGTGGAAAGATAGGCACACTAATACATTGTTGATAGAGCTATGAAGTGATATGACCATTTTGGAAAGAAATTTGAAATCAGAATTTGAAGCCAGAGACTCCATTACTGGGCTTATACCTCAAGGAAGCCATTGATAAGAAAAAAAAAGTCTCCATATATACCAAAATATTCATAGCAGCACTTTTTGTGATAGCTGAGAATTGGAAGCAAAGTAGATGTCCATCAATTAGGGAAAGGCTAAACAACTTGTGGTACATGCATGTAATGGAATATTGCTATGCTAATAGAAATGATATGTGTGATGAATACATAGAAGCATGGAAAGATCTATATGAACAGATACAGAATGAAGTAGGTTGAGCCAAGAAAACAATATACACAGTACTACAACAATGTAAATGGAAAGAACAAACCACACTAAAAAGCCAAAAGTAAATATAACAAAACTATTAAGATCAAGTAGGACTCAAATGAAGAGATATGAGAAGATACTTCTAACCTAACCCTTTGTAGAGGTGAGAAGTCCAGATGTGTTACACATGTATATCAAACAGTTGTGCTGACTTTTTTTTATCCTCTCCAAAAAATACTGTTTGTCATATGAGATGGTTCTTGGGGAAGGGCAGCAAGATGGATACATGG